GTGCCTTTAAGGTCTCAAAAAACGATCCTTAGTCAACGGCTTGCAGGCTTGGAGAAAAAGATGCCTGCCTCACCCAACAAACGCTCATGAGGCTGATGCAGTGTAATGCATTAAGTTCTTTGCCCAAAGCAGGGTACAGTGGCCTGACGGGCTTGGGTCTTAAGATGCTAATTAAACCGTCATCAGTTATAGTCTATTTTGTTCTGTCTACTTCTTCATCCTGACACCTCCTTGGGAGGGTTGACAGCAAGCGAGCCCCGGGGAGAGCCCGGGGAGAGTACTTGCTGAGCTTCGGTCATTATACCTTCCTTTCTTGTTTAGCTGACATGTCAGATCTTATTAAAACCCTAACATGATTTACTAGGAACCATACCCTTCCTGGCAAATTCCAACATTATGGGAAACTGCATTCGCTGACATTGATTCTGGAGGTGTGCCAACCCAATGTAATAGACTGTCAGTTTAGGGGTACTGTACCCATCCAGACAGATTCCAACAAAACATGCCGTTGGGTTTGATAGTTTGAGTTCTTCTAGGGTTAATTATTTAAATAAAAGGCACATTGTATATACCAACAATGACCATCGGCACTTATTTTTGTCCATCAAAATGAATATTTTCTTTATGATATGATTCAGGCAATGGCTATTCCTCTCTCCTTACATTAATTTCATTGGAAAATATAGAAAAACAAACCACCATTCACTATTTTCTAGTTTATAAATTGCAAAGTGTTCGCTTACACTTAGAAAAGTCCCGGTTAAGATTTGACACAGACTCTGGGTCCTGTGGGACCTAACACTTTTCCGGGTAGAACTCGACACTTTTTCGTGTCAAGAATGACACTTTTCCGGGTCAAAATGACACTTTTCTGGGTCAAAATGACACTTCTTTGACTCATTTTCCATCCGATTTTGACTTGGAAAAGTGCCATTTTGACCCAGGAAAGTATCATTTTAAACCGGACAAGTGTCAGTTTTGACACAGGAATAGTACATTTTTGACCTGGAAAAGTGTCTTTTTGGCACGGAAAGTGTCATCTTGACTCGGAAAGTGCCATTTTGACTAGAAAAGTGTCATTTTGACCTGGAAAAGTGGATTCTTCGACCCAGAAAAGTGTCAGGCCCAATAGTACCCTGATACCAGGTCAAAACATTTTAGAATGAAGGTTGCAGGGATAAAAAAACACACAAAGGTTTGCAAAAAAATGTGACAAAAAGATACTGGATTTAAATCTAAATGCCAAGGTTGTTTACTAGTTGTTTGATACGATCAACGCAAAGGACGTCCTGCCAAAACCCACATAAATACGTTATACGTTATACGGTCGTAAAAATTAAATTGCCTGCTCAAGTACACAAATTCAATTTCACACGTTTGTGCACTAATGAAATTGGTAACGTGCGATTTGTATCTACATGTACATATGACCAGAATATGCCTCGAAAATGTCTGCAGAAGATTTCATGCGTACCAATTACGTGCACACTGTTGAAGGGTCGCTCAAGTGTGAAACGAAACGGTTTTAAACGGGTTTATCCGTTGGGCAATTCGTCACGAATTCAAATAGTCTTTCAATTCGCACGTTTCTGTCCAAACGAAGTATTGAATCGATCTGAAGTGAATTTTGGATAGCTCAAGTCACATCTATGAGTACTTGTTTGCTCAACTCTTCTGAAGTCGATTGCATATTTCAGTCGTCACATTATAGTCATTGCCCGGCTGTTTAAAGGGAATGTACATCATTGGCTTTTGTTGTAATTTTCAGAAATGAACTATTTGAGGGGCTAGTATATAGATCAAATATTGTTACACTGACATTGAAGTTTTGTGTTCGGAAATGCTGGAAAAGCCAAGAAAAACAAAATGTTCAAGTAGTCTGGCTCCCTTACTCCACTAAAGATGAAATGGATCAATTTATAGATGCCGGAAAAATGTTAAGGTAAGGGAACCAGTCTAGCTAGCCTGCACCCGTTCATGAACATGTAACCAATAGCAAACAAATTTTGACTGAAAAAAAGGTAAATTTGGAGCAGTAGTTGAAAAATAGTTGGGTTTTTCCAACGTTGGTCGGCCGACCACAGTTGGAAATTTATACAAAAATACCATTTTCTTGAAAATGACTTCACACCAGGTGCCATAATTATACAGGATGCTTTAGACTGTCATTAACCAACATCCTATTAAGGTTTTTCGTAAAAACTTGGTAGTTTTATTTGTTGACGTTTGCAAATGTTGTATATTCCCTTTAAGGTAAATGTGGCATGCTGTGCAATATTGACGCTGCGAAATGGAATGTATGTTTACACGATTTGTGAAAATGTATACATGAAAATGACATCAATTGTTCAAAACAATTATTTATACGGGGATTGTTGTGTTCTTGAAGGATATTGTTTATTCAAATTTTACTGTTTATATAATCTTTAGCAATCACTGTAAATAATACATTTTACTGTAGGTTTAGTCCTTGGACTACAATAAAACCAAAATGAATGAATGAAAAAAAAGGATATTCCATAACTTGGAAACCAAAGTTGTTTCTCTTTTATGTACAGGGTGAGTAAAAAAACCCCAGGAAACCCAAATGGCAGGACCAATTATTTAATGAAGTTCTGCATTTAGCACTTTCAAAATACAGGATATGAAAGCCAAATTAATAAGCTTTATTTTAGCACAAGAATCATTCAAATCACTTGTGTGTACTTTCCGAGTAATACGAAGTTTAAACACAAACACCGTTTCATGTTCTGTCCACGGATCACACAAAAAGGTTAAGCATTCTTTCAGCAAAACGAAAACAATTCTCATAGGGATGTATGTGAACGATTATTGAAAATAACGTTATAAACGTTGGGACACAAAAGTGCACTTTCCATGATCGCATCAAAACAATGACATTGCTGGGCCCTTCAATATATTATTGTAAATAAAGTGAAATAAGATTTTTTGTTTGTTTAGTTTTCAGGGTTGTCGGGCCGTTTTACATGTCAATCCACACATCCCATAGCAGCAAGGCATATACGATCAATACCAGACACATTTCGTTGCAGTATAAGCGGGCGACTATTTTGTAACAGAAGGAGATGACATTTATTAAGTCAACACGTAACATTCGTAAACTGATATAGGCTCGCGACGAAATACATTGGGCTTGGTGGAATGCAGATGTATACCCCTACAAAACACAGTCGTGTTGTAAGACAATATTAAAGCCCAACAAATAATATAACTGCTAAGAAATATAAAACCGGTACCCTTTTCATATCGTCAATTTTTACTCATACCAGTTTAGAGAAAAAGGACATTTCAGTTTATCTTACCTCAACGTTGAAAAAAAAGTATCTCCAGATCCCTTTAAAATTGTATCATTTTATATATTGAGTACTGTGCCGGTTAAAATGTGAAGAATATTGATTAGAAATGAGCGTGTTCTATACATAGGCCTGCAATGCATTTTCGTGCGCTGCTTTTTTATTTCGAGCATGCACTCATCGTTCAGAAAAGAAAAATCAGTAAACGTGTCAACATTTTTGGACAATAGTCACGTTTTACGTTGTTAAAACTTTACCGACTAAGAATGGGACGACGCCAGGGTCGCATTTTATCGATCGCACGAGATTTGTTCGCTTACAAGGTAGAATCAAGTGCAGCTGTGTGAATATGTACACAGAAATGCTTTCATATCCGGAGACACAGTATTTGAGCCCCCCAATCCTATGAGCCTCGTTTCTGCGTTCAATAGGGTCCCCAATTCCCGAGAGGTCCCCAATTTGGATTCGTGTACAAAGCATATGGGAGATCTTCCTAAAAAGTACAAACAAAAGAGGGACAATAAGGGGTCACCGATTGCAGGCAAATAAACACTTGCCTGGGTTTTTGTGTGTTTTGTTAACTTCACAGAAGTTTAGTTTTTGTTATGGCGCAGTGCACGTCATCTCTTATCGTGAAGAGTAGACTCATGTGTCGTGTGCTGGGACTCGGTTCAAATTCTACGAAGAATGTTCCCGTACCGGCTTTGCAAAGAGTGAACACCGGCTGGACAATGCTCCCGCCTCTTTGGCAAACATTTACTCCAGACAAAAAAAAAAATAGCGCATTGGTAGCACGAAATGTTCCACGTTAATTGGTAAGAGTTCAAATTTCGCTCCGTTTGATAGCAGATGTTCTCATTCCGGCGAAGGAAACCATGCCGTTGTCGAAGAACACGCAATCATGATTGCTTTGCGTGTCCAGTTTCCTATTAAAAAGGGGAATAAAATATCCCCATACCGACCAAAGAGTTCTTAACGTATCGGTGTTGGTTTGTGTGTTGGTTGGTTGGTTGGTTGGTTAGTGTGTTTGTCTGTGAACAGGATAGCTAAACAAGTTCTGGACAGATTTTCATGGAAATTTTAGGGGTGGTCCTTGGTACAAGTACAAATCGATTAGATTTTGGAAGTGATCTTGATCTGCATCTGGATACAGGATTTTTTTAAAAGGATTTTTCACCTATTATTACGGAAAACTGTCACCAGATCGCTCTGTGTGACCAGCTTCGTGTGCGTGGCATTGACCCGGTGACCCTGTATGCCTTATCACCCACCTAACCACACAGGTCAATGGACTAGACCATTTTATACAATGAGGTAATGGAAAGGTAAACCAACACAGGCACACTGAAAAATTGCCTGGGTTAATTTTACCCAAGAAAGGGTGAAAACTGGATCTACCCAAACTTGGGTTGTTTTATAACAAATTGTTTGGGTTAGAATTTCTGCTAAATTCAACCAAAACTTGTAAGTCATACAATACGGTCTTGAATGACCACAAGTTTTGGTTGAATTTAGCAGAAATTCTAACCCAAACAATTGGTCAACCCAAGTTTGGGTAGTTCCAGTTTTCACCCTTTCTTGGGTAAAATTAACCCAGGCAATTTTTCAGTGCATATACATGTAGAGGGGTGGCCCTTGGAACAAGTAGGCCTACAGTCGATTAGATTTTGTTTAGCCTTGGCGAGGTGTGCGCTCTGGAGTGCTATCTTGTTTTGTGTGTGTGTGTGTGTTTTTTTTTTAGATTTCACTTGCTAAGTCATGACATTATATTGCACAAACTATATATAAAAGGCCACATCGAAAAGTGTCTGACGTAGGCAACGTCAAAGTTTTAGTTTTTGGAAAATATTGGTCAGAGCTAGACGTATGGTTAGCTGCTGTTGTCAACACGAAAGGGTACTTCACATAATGACAACCATCTTAAGTTTCCGTTTGTAGTTAGTTCCATTTTTAATTTGATGGAACAGATTATGAAAATTACTTTGATCTGTATTAAATTATGTTGATTTTATGCAATTAAATTATTAGTGAATATACAAGGATCGACCAAAGCTGTTCCCTCGAAATTTTCGCTCGCTAAAAAGCTGGTTGGTGGAAGTCAAAGACCTAAGCACAAGAAACTACCTTGAAACAAAAGTAAACACATTGTGAACATCTATGTTAAGTTTGTGCGATAATTTGTAGATTTGTGCGGATATGTTTTTTTGTACAATTATCAAAATACTTGCATAAACTTCAATAATCCACTTTGCCGAAACTAACAGAATTTTCCATAATACATTGAACAATAATTTATTAAAATATCTGAAGCTGTTGCCTCGACATTATACGTAACGTCATATCATCAGCGTCACATCGTGGCTGATAAGGCCGCTTTTACGGTCGTCTTAATAAATTCTACACAAAAGCTGCTTGACAACTTCTGAGCACGTAGGTCGCGGGTTCGAACCCCGATCCTATAGGTTTTCATTGCCGAAAGGATCAAACAACGCCAAAAATATTCAAAGAAATAAATGCAGATCCAATTCAGATATAGTCAATTTTACTAACCGCCTATGGCACGCCCACAAAAACATAATTCACTGATTCACACAAACAAAAAACCAAACCAATGGCTCATGAAAGTAATGCAGAAGTCCCGTTTACGGTCACGTATAAGCCTTCGGGACATTGTCAACTTTAATTTAGATTGAGAGGCCTAGGTGCTTTATGCGTCTAGTCTGCGTCTGCAGATGTTCTGTTCTCTACAGTCTTGATGTAGGCAATAACATTCGCCCTTGGGCTAACAAGAGTCCAGTTACCATACAATATTTGGGAAAAAACTACTTTCATTAAAATGCGCGTTCTGTCCTTGTTGATTCGGGTCCCAACCTTAATATGAAAAGGTCCTTGATTTTCACTTGGTGGTTTAGAATTTCGACCACGCACACATCATGGGTTGGAATATGTCTTTGAATTTTGAAATCATGTCAGGCATCTAGTTCACGTGCTGAATTTGTTTACCTGACCCATTGCGCATGCGTGGTTTCTAGACCTTTTCAATGACAAACCGAACCTATTTTACATGGGTGCTATACGGACATTCTGTTGTTGTTGTTTTTTACGCACACACCACAGAATACAACAGAAAATGCAGACTACCAGCCAAAAACTCCTGCACGCGCTCACTGCAACACAACTGGTTCCCAACCACCGATACGGAGACCAATGTTTTGAACCAATATTTCATTCAGGCCTATCCACTGTACAGTGCATGTAACTCGTCACAATGTAAGCTAATATCTGGCGTTTATAAACTCCAACGATGCATGACGTGGTCAATTTACCAATATACCGGTACCAATTATGACCAATATGACAAAGATAATCTACATGGTATTATACGTCTCCAATGACTGATAAAAAGTAATCCTTGACCTAATATATGCCCCGGTTACAAATTTATGCAATCAATCCAATGCTCAGTGTGTAATATATACATAGGGACATCAAGTTAATCGACTTTAGGTCTAAATTAAATTCATTTTGGAGTACGACCACAAACTATAATCAGCAAATAAAAAAAAAATACATGTACTCCTTCATGATACTAGGTGATAAAACTTTCAAGTGAAACTCTATTACAGCAACGCAAAGTGCCACTTTCTGTTTTTTTCCCCTTAAAATCCAAACAGATTAGAGCAAGGTAGTGATCATGAGGCAATGCTTAAAGGCTGGTTCATACGAAACAAGTTCTTTCTGGATAATGACATAGTCCTATGCCAGAATGAAATCATGAAATTTACTTCGCTTTTGGGTGGAGAATAAAGCGATCCTCATCATGTTGGGGTGTCCGAGGATCTAGGGGCTGGGGTGTCAGAAGCTTGTTCGCATAGGGCTTGCGAATCCGGCTGCCCTGGTTCAGTCCGGGCCGGCCGACCGGTTCTACTTGGTCCGTCCGTGTGACCTGGATGGTTCGTGGTCTCGGCAGCCACTCCCGCGTAGTCCGTACACGTGAGCTTATCGCTCTCCGCACCGTTCACCACCTGCAGGGCCACGTCCCGCCGGTTCCGGGACAGGTCCTGCCCGACCCGGTGCTTCCTCCGGAAGGCCAGCTTGATGGACTTCCGAAAGGACCGGTTCTTGATGGAGTAGATGACGGGGTTCAAGCACGAGTTGGTCAGGGCAAGGAGGAGGAAATACGGGTAGATGGCGCTCCCTTCGTAGTCGAAGTGACCGGCGTTCTGAGCCAGAAACATCATCTGGTCTGGAGTCCAGCACACGGCGAAGGCTAGCACCACTATGAAGAGGGTCTCCACCACGCCCCGCCGCGCGGCGTGGTAGGCCACCAGACGGTTCTGAGAGTGAGCCCGATGGGCCGTCTGGGAGGCCGCTCGGGTCTGCGTCCGGATTTTGGCTAAGATGCGTATGTACGTCACCAGCATGACCAGGACGGGGATGAGGTACGTCACGAGAAACACGGACACTCCCACCGAGATGCGCAAGGCGTCACTGTGCCAGACCACCACGCATTTGCCATCTTGTACATCCTGCACCAAGGGGCCAAAGAAGTTGAGGACTACGGCTATCACCCAGGTCAGAGCCACACTGATCTTGGCCTTGGTGGGGCTGAAGAGACGCTTATGGCGCAGCGGGTAGACAACAGCGAGGTAGCGCTCCAGGGTCACCGCGATCAGGTTGAAGACAGAGGCTTTCAGGGCCGTCCACATGAAGACGTCCGAGGCGACCAGGCGGCAGTAGATGACTCCACGGGCGTCGTCCGGTAGTCCCTCCACTGGGAAGAAGCTAGGAATGACGGTGATGGCGGTGATGAGGTCCGCTGCGGCTAAGCTGATGATGAAGTAGTTAGTGAGGGTCCTGAGCCGCCCGACTCGGACGAAGACCACGATGACTAAGGTGTTGCCGCATAGGGCGAAGAAGACGAGGATGCATCTCCAGGCGAAGAAGGACGGAGACCCCGGAGACTGCATCTTAGCTCCTTATCACTCGTCAGTTCATTCCTCAATCAAATTTTTTTCCAAGGCTCAATGGCATTCCAGGCTTGAAATCATCGTATCGAGTGTCACTCAGTAAGTCACGTTGACGAGTGTGCAGAGCTGCTCGTGTCGATGCTGTGAGCAATTTACAAGTGAATATGGCGTCTAGAAATGTTCATTCAAAACGTGAACACCTTATCAATGTACTCCTGGAAAGTTATTTTGTCTGATGATATAGACGCAACTTCGTTCTTCTACGTCACCGGGAATATATATAAAAATTTCAGCTGCTCTTTCTGTCTTTTCTCTGCAAGGCATCGATGTATGAGTTGAAATTGGTGTATCGTAAAATACTCGGCACTTTTCAATTTGTGTGCAATTTTAGATCACTAACTTGCACTTACGGTTTCTCCAAGAGTGTTGAAGTTGTTGCATGTGTTGCCGCAAAACAGAAAGTCCGCGGAGAGATCTGATCACAAATAACCATTTACCAATTTACCTCAGCGGTTCAGAATTGGGTCTCCTTAGGTAGAAATAAACAATCATGCCTGCCAATAACCGGACTTGCAAGCACTTATAGTTGCGTGGGTGCGTCTGTAAGGGGATACCAATCCTCGGCTCGTTCAGCAGTTATCAGATACACCATCTGGGAAATCCACGGAGTTTGGTATCCGCGACTTGCATCCCCGCAAATCCTGAGGACTGTCTCCTTGCGGCGTGAGCAGCGCAAATGGCAACCTAATCGTACCATCCCCACATTAATGAAGCTTAACGATAGACTATTAAGTCCCTCTGTGGTTCGATTGACGAGAAAACTTTGCTCATGTGGCGGGTTGTTTGCGTCACTCGCCGTACATTATCTACCAGGATTATCGCTGATGTATCGCACCAAGATCTCTGTGTAATTCTCTGGGGGGGTTTACTGTTCCATGCTGCACTTGTTGATTGTGCACTTGTCAAAATTGTACGTTTCTGAATCAGATTTCCTTTATGATGTCTTCAGAAACCAGACCTGTTCCCAACAGCAAAAGGTCGATCTGTTGTTGTTCGGCTCCCCGGGGCAGAGTTCGATCTGTTTTCGATGACCGAATTTAGCAGGGTTCACTCACTCAGAGATGACTATCTCCTAAGCAATATGTATCCAAATATTCCTGCTCAAAAAGCCAAGCCCGCCACACCGCAATATGATGCATACATTACGAGGATATTTGCTTAGGCAGTTGTTCAAATACTGCAGAAAATAATGATCCTGCTGGTACCGCACCGCCCAGGTCACACGTCATCCGTAAAAGTATCTGAAAATACTGCAGTGAACTGGGTGTCGGTTTTCTTTCATCTAAACCTCATCTACTCCACCGTGTTTACTCGATGCAGGGTCGATTCGGAAGCTATGCTAATTCCGCGATTTATTATGCCAGCGAGAGTTTTCATATGTTTGGTCATCAGTGATAGATTGCAATTATATACTTGTGGCCTTGGTTGTGGTGTCCATATGGCAAAACTCAAATCCTCGACTGAGAGAGATACTTCAATGGGTCTGTTACAGTCGTTGCGATACTGAAGAAGTCCTTTTCATCATCATGTGTACTGCGTTTTGGGTTCATGGTCATACTGCACCAATCTATGTGTGCGGAAGTTTTCCCGCCCGATTCTCCGTCGTTGAAAACTCGTAAGAGTCCAATGACTTCCGCGATCCCGCCAAACTTTGCAATCCATGAACGATTCGTGTGGACAGTGAAATGTACACACGAGCATTCAGATGGCCGACTGCGTACAGGCAATCTCGTCTCCTTCCCTTCGCGATGAGCCAGCCAATAAATCGCTCCCTGCCCGCGCCCGTCTGCGAGAACTATTAAACTTCTACGGCATACGATTACTGCCGGTCGTGCCGCCGCGAGAACACTACCCGAGCGCTCGCACAGCGCATCCAGTAAAAAGGGGTTGGCATGACGTCAGCACCCGTGACCAGAACAACTGACAGTGCGCAATTAATCACAGTTTGTTCAAGCCTCTACTGTAGCGCTCTCGCCGGTGGGGAAAAAGGAGAGCGCTTTGAAGTTTGTCTGTAACTCTCCTGAAGTGAAGGACATTACTAGAGTCAACACGGACCTTGCTGTCTCGGATAAGCTCAACTCTTGGTTGGTATGGCAACGCATCAGTACCCTGCGCGTTGGCTTGGACATGGGACTCGTGAGTCGTGATCTCTCAAGAAAAACAAGGTTCGTTGATTGTCACAGCGATATAAAGACGTCAAATTCTTGGATTCGAAAGTAACTGATACTGCACGAGAACTCTCGGAGTCGGGGTCTGTATTTTCTTCTATTGCAGTCGCGTGATTCGCAACTTAGTGGACTAGAATTTGAAATACAGTTTTTCAGCAAGTGAATGTAGTCTACGGTAATTCTAGGAAGTAACATAGTGAGTCCATCTATTGTTAAACACAGAACAGTCTCCTTTGTAGTCTGCTATAAGCATACAACTTTCTGTATAGCACCGAACGATTTTGCTTTATACCAAAAACAAGATGCTAGATGCTTGGGCATGTGACAAAGTCTGAACTGATTGCTTTTCTTTACTTAGCAAGTACGTTATTATGCTAAGCAGCTACGAGACGTTTGGCCCAAGAATTGAAAATCTCACTTTCAAACTTCGAAAAAGACTGCCATGACAGTTTTTAATTACCAGCCAATTCAAATCTATACATTCACACGGAGTTGTGGTTGGTAACCCACATCACATGCTATACATTACATTTGCGATGCATTATACTAAGTAAATCTGATCGCACAATGAGTCAAAAACGCCAGGAGCATTTTCGGCCAATCCTGATTTTAAAAACAACATTTGACTCCAGATTTCGAAACTTTACCTTGGAGTTGCCCATTGGAGATATATAAAACATCAAGGACCCTCGACCTACTTTGGTTTCAACTCCCTGGCTTAACCAGAGGGCACATTCCTGAATATCCTAGTTTGGCAAGCAAGGGAAAAAAAACATCGCCGCCAACTTGTGCGAGAAATACTGTTCTCATCTTTCGACACTTGAAGTGCGTGCACGTGTATGCACGCCCGGTAACCCTAATGTAAGGGTGCACTTGAAATGATGACGCGAATAGAGCTAGCAAGAAACACTGGTACAGCAAAATGAATAGCCTGTCAAGCCGAGACACGCAATGTCTGTTGCGGGGGAAAAGGTTAAAGTAACACCAAATGGTGTAGATTTCTGGGTTGGTTTTAACTCCTCGCTTAAAATCAGGAGCTTGCACCCTAATGACTACAGTGCGTAGTCTCTCACGATGTAACAGTTTTTGGATACCACAAAATGTTTAATATTTAGCATCTAAATTTGGCAACTTTTAAATAGCATTCTTTGGTATTCCTGGAGTACCGGTACTTCCGAAAGCTTTAATGTAAATAGCGCCTTCCGTGTTCGTGCATAAGGCTACTGAAATAGTCGTACTTTTCTGAATCGACCCATTTACTTCATACTGTGAGATTGGTATCATTACGATACAGTCTCGGATAGTCTTAATCTTCCCTTATTATTATACATCCATGAATACTTTTCCTATCAGCTGCCGACCAAACCTATCGATCAACAAGCTGACTGGTCTAGTTCTTGATAGACGGTCGGACGAACAACATGTTTACTCGGTAACCCTCGCCCACATCCCCGGCGCCCTTCCACCAATCGCAGGCGGTCATTACTCGCTAATCGCATCATTATATCTCTGGTGGTATTGGAGTAGGCGTTGTGCATCGTAGGCCTTAGTTCAGCTTGTTATTGCAAAGGGAAAAGGTGTTGCGAAAAGTCATCAGTCGCGCATGATTAGGAGCCCCGGTCAACTTGACTGGTCTGTCGCGACATTTTACCCCGCGGTCAACGCGTCGCGGTTACGGTTCGCCAGTGATGACCTTAATGTCTCATCAAAGGTGTTGCAAAATGTAATCCCCGAATCAAATGCCTCATCAAATTGATTATTTTAAAGCTCTACATTTGGTTTTAAGATGAGGTATGACAGAAACACTTGCAGGCATTTTAATGTTTTAAATTCGATTTTTTATGTTATCAATAATGTTGAAGTTTTACTTGAAGCCAGAATTTACAACAAGTATGTTAGATGAAAAGACGACACCTTGGAAGTGAGAGATAGCATTCGCAGTGCTCTTACATCAAGTCATAAATTTGATGCTATATTATCGCAAAATGTTATCGCACAAAACATTTAGTTGGCCTAAGTTTAGTTAATTAAACAAGACACTGAAGGTTTATCAATTATGTGAACTCCAACGTTTACACTCTTGGTCTCACCCAATCTGTACAAGGAACCCAATACAGAGGCCAACATTCGACACACTCACAACTCTCATGATTTGATTGTATACTTGTATACTAACATCATCCTGAAAAAAAGTCCCCTTAAAATTTAAGCGAGTTTGACCATCAACAACTCCTCATTAATATTGAAGCACCACGCCTCTACATATCGCCCCACGCACCTACTTCATCCATGCACACTAGCTTCCGAGATACGCTCTAGTTGCTCCCTTCCCTGCATAGCACCCTTCCCCCTTACCACTTTTTTTTATATTATGCCATGCCACGGGCAGCTGTTGACCATGTCAACATCCTCGGTGTGAACATCACTGTTATCAACCCCTCCCATCTCACTTGTTTCAATATTCAATCTTTCTATAGCTTTAACGCTATCTTCACTATCACCCTAATCACCCTTGATACCACCCTAATCACTATCATGTATTCTTACCTCGCTGTAAAAGTAGGACACAAGGTTACCCTATTCTACCCTATCACTAGCCTTTAACGCAACATTGGATGATGCACACTTTCTACGCAAACCCTAGATCTTCATCACAAATGATTTTTAAAAGGTTTGGGGGACATAAATCCACCTAGTTTTCAATCCGACTTCAGAATAGACCTAGATGGATCGCTCGCTAGCCTGATTGAGTATTCAGCCCGGATATCGAGTTGCAAGAATCGATTTTTTTCCCCGCATATACGGTCACTTCTAAACGATGCAATAAGCATTCGATACCCGTGACATTTCCGAGCTCCGTTTCGTGTGGGCTCCGGGAGTTTCGATGGCAAGAAATAGTTGTGCTGAAACCACATAATACGTCATTTCTGAGCATGATAGACGTCACTTCGCTTGGGGAGGTGAATATTTTAACCATCTCGTCAGTCTCATAATTTGATTCAATATGGGCTACCAAAGGACAGGTATTAAATGGATTCTATTAATGTTTTACACATGGTTGGAGATCATCAAAATATTTTAATGGAAAAGCCTATGAGCGATATAATGAACATGGATTATTATTACAGGAAAGGTATAGTGAGACATCCCCATAGGGTTGTGCGCAACATATTCCGACATTAATCATCCCTCTACTCCCAATTTTCCCTTATCAAACCTCAACGATTTTTTTTTATCATTTATGTTGTGCACCAAGAGCAATCTATCTAGCCGATTTGAGACATAAAACTTTGCCTCTAAATAGGAGTTGCGACCTCAGGAGACATTGAATTGTCTCCTTCATCTATAAGTTGCCCACAAGGGCGGATCCAGGGGGGGGGGGGCAAAGGGGGCCATGCCCCCCCCCAAACGAAACCATTTTTTATTTTTTTTATTTGACATCGCAATAAAGGCAGGCAATGAGTACACCACCATCTTTTCCTCAAAAAAAAACATTGGTTAAAGTGGTCAGAAATTGCCTCAGATCGCACCACAGAGCATCTAGAATCCACAAAAATTTTTCGGGGCCCTTATTTTTTATATTCCCTATCATATATAATTGTTTCATTATTTTTCATAACAAGATACCGTCAAGACGAGATATAGCAAGTAAACACACCACAGAGTGAAGCCCGCTGACAGCCTACTCTAGGAAAATTTACACCTCAGGCAAAATATTCTTGCTTATGTCACATTTTCTCCACGAGTATTGGGTCTACGGACTTCAAACTTGTTGGACGTTGTAGCCAGTCTAACTAGCTCTCCATATATGTCAAAAGAAAATCAGAAATTGTTCATAACAAAATACCGTCAAGACGAGATATAGCAAGTAAACACAACACGGAGCGAAGCCCGCTCACAGCCTACTCTATGGAAATTTACACACAGAAACAAACTCGGGCAAAACATTCCTGCTTATGTCACATTTTCTCCAAAAATATTTAGACTACGGACTTCAAACTTGTTGGACAATGTAGCCAGAGTAACTAGCTCTCCATACATGTCAAAAGAATTAGGAATTGTTCATAACAAAATACCGTCAAGACGAGATATAAAAGGTAAACATACCACGAAGTGAAGCCCGCTGACATCCTACTCTATGGACATTTACACACAGAAACAAACTCGGGCGAAATATTCTTGCTTATCTCACATTTTCTCCACGAATATTGGGTCTACGGACTTCAAACTTCTTGGACAATGTAGCCAGACTAACTAGCTCTCCAAACATGTCAAAAAAAATTAGTAATTTTTCATAACAAGATACCGTCAAGACGAGATATAAAAGGTAAACATACCACGGAGTGAAGCCCGCTGACCGTTTAAAACATCAAGATTCATTAAAATATGGCATCGAATGTAAAACCAATTATTACATGACAGAGAGCTATACTTTGTCTAGTAACCATCGGCGGCGGAACGGGTTGGAAAGGGGGGGGGGGGGCACCCAAAGGGGGGGGGGGGGGCTGGTACCATCTTCCAACATAGGGGGCGCTCTTCAAAACCAATGATTATATGCTAAACATACATTATGTGCCCATTTTCAGGGCGTCTTGTATGGGTTTTGGGAATTGCTTTTCATATTCCTCATTTAGATCAAAAATATCTCTACCATTAT